TATCCTGTTCAGCTGATTATGGGATGGACAGTTAATAGGAGTCCAATTTTATCTTGACTTCCACAGTTAACTCCCTGATAGATTGTGATGCTCTGACAGGGCCTGGAGCTAGAGGTAACAGAGACCTCTGTCTCTCCTTCTTGCCTGCACTGAACATCCCACCCATGAGCCCTAGCATCCCTTCCTCAGGCCCCTTCCTCTCTCTACCATGTGACCACCCTGTTCCAAGTTCGAACTTACAGCAGTGTCCACAGCAGGAAGCTGGGGGAGGTCTAAACTAGGGGGCCCCTCCCTCTCTTTCATGGTGTTAGGAGGACAAGCAGAGGCCTATTCTCCAAATACAAGTCAGGTTCAGTGGGGACGCACTGGGCATTGGAACGGTGTGTGTGTGTTACGGCACACAGTGTCCCCTTTCCAATGGCTGGTGGAAATAAAGGAGGAGGGTACAGAACATTCTTATATAATCTTTCCTGGCAACGAAGATGGACTTTGAGAGGGATCAAGGATCAGCATCCAGAACAGCTCCACTCCCACAGTGAACTGGGCACAGCAGTACAAGGTTATGGTGATCTTTGTTCAAGATGTGTTGGGTCTCTGGTGAGTATTACTATTGGCTTTGGGGTACACATCTCTCCTGTGCAACCAACCAGCTTCTTTGGGGACTCATGCATCTGGTGAGGAATTGACTGCAGTGAGTCTTGGGTTGATTGAGACAACTCACACAATGTTCCTGGAATTTATTGACACACCTGTGTCTTTGTGCACAGGTCGGTGGAGGAGAGAACATTCACAGTGATGTGGGATGAGGATGGGCTTTAGTGCCTGTCCTGCCTCGGTCCTTTCAGGTTGGCCCTTGGTCTCAGTTTCTAGAGAGGAAGCCTCCAGATAAACTCTATCCAGGATTGGGGCAGAATCCATCTGGAAGAAGCTGGCTGGATAGCTTCTGGGAACTGATAAATTCTTTCTGGCCTGATTTCTAATGATCTAGAGTTGAAGTCAGGTGTGCATTGGGGAGAACAGAGGCCCTAAACAACCACCCTTGGGGAGTTTGGAGTATTCAAGCATAGCAGAGAGAGTGTAAGGTCCTGCTTTCTTACTGCTGGGAGCAGAGTCCCCTCACCCCCGCTGAGTGGGGAAGTTCACAGTTCATAGTTTCAGGTTGTGAAGGATCCAGATAACTCTAGCCAGATTCCACATGTCTAGTGAAGTTGCTGGTTTGTCTGTGCTAAATTTCTGGGTTCATTTGCTTTGTTGAATCTTCCAGGGCTATGGGACTAAAAGGCTGAACCTATTAAATTTGTTTGCTGGTTCTGATTCAAAAATTTATTCTTTTTCCACCTTGAAATTGTGGGACCAATAAAAAGGCTGAGTGCTGTGGGATGGTCTGTATCTCAAATTGCTTTGATTGGTCAATAAATAAAACACTGATTGGCCAGTGGCTAGGCAGGAAGTATAGGCAGGACTAACAGAGAGGAGAAAAGAAAGAACAGGAAGGCAGAAGAAGTCACTGCCAGCCGTTGCCGCCATGACAAACAGCATGTGAAGATGCCGGTAAGCCACGAGCCACGTGGCAAGGTATAGATTTATAGAAATGGATTAATTTAAGCTATAAGAACAGTTAGCAAGAAGCCTGCCACTGCCATACAGTTTGTAAGCAATATAAGTCTCTGTGTTTACTTGTTTGTGTCTGAGTGGCTGTGGGGCTGGTGGGTGGCAGAGATTTGTCCCGACTGTGGGCAAGGCAGGAAAACTCTAGTTACAGCTGAGTGTTGATTGGGAATCAAAGGTGACTTTCATTCTTGGCCAAGAGCAGAACTGGGAGATAAATTCCCAAATCTACTTCTCCACCTTTTGGGAAGCTGCAGTTGAGAGTATAAAATAAAATTGAAGGGGAGGGATAGAGATTAGTGAAGAGATGGAAATCCATCTTTTCTCTGGGAATGGGTAGAGATTTTCTCAGAATTCACACACCATATCTGCCCCCCTCTTTGTATGGTGTTTTTCTTTTCTTTCCTCATTATGGCAATGCCAAGTGTCTTGGGGTGGGTGGGGTGCCATCAGAATGTAGGTGCTTACAATGCAGTTATATATGTCTGCTCGACACTCTGACAGCCTTAGACCCAACTGGAGCCTGAGTTCATGACATCTGTATAATGTGACAGTAGGTAAAGCTATCTCAGAATTTCACTTTCTCAGTTTTGATTTTTCTGGAA